AGCATTTCCTATTTCTAAAACTAGTATTGTGTTCCTGAAAGCTCTTTTTTTTCAATTATTTTGGTAAATTGAATCATACGCAGTGTGGAAGAGTCACAGGCTGTTTACATAACACCTATAATGATTGACTGGATTAAGAAAATAATTTGTCTCCTCGAAACTAGGATCACTGTTTACCCGGGAAAAGAGGGACACTGTCAGTGGAGGGTAGACTATGAAACTACTCATGGTCTCTCACTCAGCCAAGTTTGGTACATTGACCCGAAATAAATAGACTGCCAAATTCTTCTCCGGCAAATATAGACTAATAGGGGACGAGCAGACAGCTGAAATTTGGAGTCTGCAACCATGATGGTGAGGGACATCCAAGTTCCCCATCACAGGGGAAGGAAACACTTTTACAGAGAGGGAGCGGAAGCTGGGAGGGCTCTAGTAAACAAAAAGCCCCCAGCTTTTCATTGGCTGAGTCCTTGCCAGGAAAGAAGAGGAGTTTTTCTTCTTCCTGTTGGGCTCTGCTATCCTCATAGGGTGTGAGAGCTCCCCCTCTGGTCCCCCAACTCTTTAATTGAGGTTTCTGTTTGTTAATTTTTTACAGGGGTTTGATTTTCCCCACCCACAGTGAATCAGAAACAGAATGCTGCTCTTACTGGTTGGAGTATATTGTCCTGTTTGGGCAGGGGGAACATGAGGAATGTTTGTTAATGAAGCACAACTATGAGCACTGTCATAGGGCAGCCAGTTGCCCCAGCTCACCTGGACTGTCCCAGTGTTAGCACTGGACGTCATGCACTCCAGAAACTCCTTACTCCCTGGCAAACCTGAATTGGCCACTGTCAGGGAGGAAGAAACTTTCCTCTCCCCTTCTAGGTTCTTCCGGCTGGTCGTGAATTAAACTGGCAGGAGATGGATTAATAGGAGAAAAACAAATGAGTTCAATAGCATGTGAGAGACCCAGGAACACTGAGTAACTAGTCAAAATGGCTGAGACCCTCACCTTAAATACATCTTCAGCTAAAGACAAAAGAGGATGTTGGGGTAGTGGTCTGGGACTTCAAAGGGGAGGAAGGCAATGCACACAGAGATGGAAAAGTAAATGTTTGTTAAACAAATGTTTGCTGGGCCCTGCGGAGACAGTGGGGCACACAACACTCTGCTCTCCAGGCCCGGCCAAGTCCCCCCACCAGACCTGGCCCGGATACTTTGGAGATGTGTCTGGTGATAGCTCTGTTTCCAGAACAGGCCTCTTACCTAAATTCTTTTGGGCAGTAAGGGGAGGGTAACAAGAAAAACTTCCTGACTCTTCTGTTTCTTAAAAATAATCAGTCTACATGAATCCTCGTGCCAAAAAGATGCATTTTGGAGTGGAAATTTTTGCTCTTTTTTATCACCCTAGCATTTTACCTTCTTTCATCTTTTCTAACTTTTTTATCTTTATGGAGAGCTTTATGGTGGATTTTAATCATTTAAATAGTCATCCAGTAGTTCACTCAATCATTTTGCTATATTGTAAGCAACTTTTTAAGGTTAACTATGCATGGGCTCATTAACTTTGGACACACAGCTTAGTAATTTTGCCAGTGTCCACGTAGGCAACAGCGAACAGTTATTTTAAAAGAAATAACTTAATATAAAGAATTGTTAACCAGGGAGCAGTTGAATACACAAGGAGACAACGCCAAACCATATGTGACAATGAAACTGATGCCACAACTTCTACAGCAATCAACCAAGTACAGTCAGGAGTTGTTCAATGACAACCAGCTGCCATGTTTTTGGCCTTGCTTCCAACTCAGAACCAACCAGAGAAAGGCAAATATGCCCTCAAAATCAATCACATAAGATCCCTATTTCTAGCTGGCCCACTTCCAGCTTCTTCGTGCAGACAACCTCCAATCATAGCACACCCAAGGCCGTCCTTTTGTTTTTTCACTGTAACGCTTTCCTACTCACCTTTCTCTCTTCAAGACGCTGCAAAATGCAAGTGACAGTGGATGACTGAGTAAATAGCCTCTATTTGTTCTCATCTGGGAAATTTTTGTTTATTTCCACACCAGAACGGGTTACCTGAAAAGGCACAATGGGAGTACTTTTGTTACCACAGGAAGTGTAACTACGGAAGCAACT